CCTTGACCTCCCCTTCCTTCTCCTCCTTCCTTTGGTGACCCTAAAGGGCAGGACCGTTATTAAGGAGGCCGTCACTGGTCACCTTTGGGTCCTGTGTCCTGCTCTCCTCTTTACGGCCGCAGGGCCCACCTAATCAATTGCCCGCTCATGCACACTCTAAAACGCGGCAACACACACACAGACACACACACACACACACACACACACACGCACAACACTTCCAATCAATTACTCTCGAAATTTATACAACCGGGTAATCTTGGGGGTGTTAGTCTCCCTAAGGCCAATCAGAATGAGCTTTTCCGAGACTTCTACGTCAGCCAAATGACGCCAATTAGTTGTGTGTGGGTGTGTGTGTGTTTGTGTGAGCGCATGCAAGTATGTGCATGTGTCTTTGCGACTGACACTAATTAGAAGAGCTAGTGCACCCACTTCCTCAGGACCATTTCCTGTGATAGTAATTATTAGGTATGTGTGATAAATTCCAGGCCTTCTTCCATCCGTCCAGAGATAGAACAAGACAACAAAGAGAGGGAGGGAGAGCATGTGCTACTCAGAGGAAGTAAGCACAGAGTAATAAAGTAAGAATAGACTATTAAAGAATGATGTTACTCTAGTCTGGCAAACTGTTTCAGTACGAAGATGAAAGCGTACCATACCTTCCCATGGGCGCCTCAACGTGAAAGCTCTCTAACCGACCTCTCTAGTTGTCAATCACTGCATTCTTTCTGTTTATATGTTTCACAATCCCCCAATCCTCATTCTGTCTTCAGAAGAGCGATTTATGTGCCTGGAAGATGATACATCAGTTCAACTAATCAACCACAAATAGTAAACGCGCTATCCTCACATTTGAATAGTACTCACCGCGAGTCTCTAAGTCAAACATTACGTCAGTCGTGCATTAGGAGCCAATAAGACTCATTCCATGGCTCAAAAATCCATCCTCTCTGCTATGACAGCAATAGTTGCTATGGTGAAGGCAAACAGAGTATGTGTCTCTTTTACAATAAGCTCAAGTCAGGGTTACAACGAACACAATTCCTCCGAAATCATATGTACTGGTTGTGTTAATGCTTGCCAAAAATACTACGAGGATAAGCGCCAATAAAAAAGGTAACGATGAAAAAATAACTATAAATGATGCTTGAACGGCCAAACTGTGCGAGAAGTGAGCTCCAGACATGACGTTTGCTGAGTGCATTGCTGGAGAATAACATGGTCCGGGGAAAAACGGATCGGAAAAGTTAAATTTAGGTCAGTTAATCTTCCGTTGCATTGGTTGAACAGAGTAATATCCAAATGAAAAATTAACAGTACCAAGGCCGCTCCGGAGTCTCCATCCTTGAAGCTCACCGTATGGGGCCGCAGGTAGAAGTCTGTCATTATCTTACAGTACTGGACCTTGGTCTCAGAAGCAGGGATTTTCATGTGATGAAGCCCTCCATTGACAAAACCTCAAAGGAGGAGGAGGAGTAGGGTGGAGCATGCCTAGGCCCTGACATAATAACACACCTACAGGCACGCAGCCGACACACATGTCGAAGGTAAACATGCGTGTCAGAGGGCACAGGAGCACAGACAGACATGATGAATGGCCCGAAGTTCCCACGAGGCGACGCACATACAAACTTGCTTGCAAAGTGAAGAAGGTGATGTGTGGTCAGCCCCTCCACATCACTGCAAGACAGAGAATCCCATTCACACACTGCACCGACCTTCTAAGTCTCATCATTACTTATCACAACAATGGCACTGAAACACCACACCCGTCTGTGGATGTCACCAGTTTTTGTTAAAATATAAAAAGATGTGAAAGGATACTTTTGGGGGGAGGTGCGTTTTTAGTGATTGCACATGCTGTACATCTGTGCATATCTGCGTGTGAGTTTGTTAGGGTGTGTGTGTGTGTGTGTATGTGTGTGTGTGTGTGTGTGTATGTGTGTGTCCGGGCCCCTCAGGGAGACCACTGAGCAGGGACATGACCTTGCCAGTACAGCTGGTCTCTCTGTGTGTTTAGTCAGTGTAACCACAGCAATGGCGCTGTGCAGACAGGAAGTCTACATTTGGGATTTGAAAGTCGTAATGTCGCTACCGCTCTAAGCTTCGTTATGCCATGGATAACTGTAACTAGCAAACAAACGATACATAAACACACTTCACGGATAGAAAAGGTTATTGCATTTACACTGCAAACACAATAGCCAATTTGCCTGTGCACATTCTATTTAATGAGAAGATAAAAATGCACGAGATATAGTCCATATTTTGCTTTTGCAGAATGGGAAAAAATAAATGTCTCTATAGAAATGATGCAATTTTCTTAGAAAACAGGCATTTGTGTGTAAGTGGTTCCATGTAACACTGAGGAATTAGTATTCTATATATATAACAAAATGTACACTTTATTCACAACAACAACAATAACATGTGCTAAAAGACATAATTGAATCGCCTTTTTTTTATATGTTTTTCTATTTCTCCAACTCAGACTTGCATGAAAATATTTTTGAATTTTGAATTTGACACTTTTACATGTAGGCGGAACAAAATATGAATTAACAGGTTGATGTGTAGCAGGTGTTTCCTGAAATCTGCTGTGTTGTTTAGTGTTTTATTCTTTGCATGTAGCTCCACTCCACTGCTAACCACACTCTGCTCCTCCACCCACTATACTCAATATCCTCCCTTTCCTCCTGCCTTGCTCACCAAGCCATCACCCCCTCAATCAATCACTCGCCCATTTTATCAACCTTTTTTTCAATATCATTTACTATTTCCCCCCTAATCTCTGCTACAACCATTGTTTTTTTTGTTCCATAATTCTATCCATTTTTGCATGATTTCCCCTCCATCTCTCAACTCCACCCTTCCACCACTAAAAATGTCCACTTTGTCAACTCAGCAAATCTTTATGCGCTAGCCTCAATTGTGCAGCTACCTTTCTCTTCATCATCTTTTTCCATCACAAAAATGTAAACAGATAGTATCAGGGACCCTTCCAGAGCCAAAAGGAGGATCATGTTGAGTAAGCCACTGCAATGCTGTGGCATGTGGTATTATCCCATTCAGACTATGGAAACATCTTAATGATTAGCTTTTCAAAATGTCCAAACACATAATTTCTCTATTGTGCACCTACAACCCGTGACCCTAGCCTCATTTAATGACTATTTCCTCTGGAGGCCATCTCTCTCTGTCTGTGTGTGTGTGTACGGAATAGTATGGTGGAAACTCAATCTGGTGTGGGATGATAGAGCTGACCCACACCGCTCTTTATTCATCAAGCGTGCAGCTCTATATCTCAAAAGGCAAATATGAAAATGATCTATATCTCTTTACGTCTCACACACACACACACACACACACACGGAAACCCGTCATGCAATGACAGGATATTGAAAATCTCTCTCCCCCACACATTAAAAAACACACCCAAAGTGTGCTCTACGGTTCACTGGGGAATGAGCCTCACATGGTTTGCTTCAGCTGGTCTTCTTGACAAATGCCCCATTACACTACACTTGGCATGCAATCAAACTTCTCTCATGATTTCTGAGACTTGAAATACTTCAGTTTGCGTAGCCCCTCAGTTGCATCCTCTCATTCTCCCTTTCTGCCTACTTTTCTTCTCGCGTTCAGTGTAGCTCCTCTTCTCGCTTACTCTCTTATTACCTCGCTTTCTCCGCCTTGTCTTTCCCGTTTCCCTGTGCTAACTTGGACCAGAGCCGTGCTGTAGCAATATGGCCCCTTTTAAAGCTGAAAGCCAAGGTTTGTGTAAGAATGTGCATGTCTGCAGACGTGAGTGATTACATGTGAGTTCCACTGAGCTTGTGTGTACTTTTTGCATGCGTATCTCTGTGGCTTGTTCAGCTGTAAGTCAGTCTCACGGAGCTTCGCCCCTCGCAATTCAATAGCCCTTTAATCGTCATCATCAGTGACCCCAAACTTCTGCCTCTGACCTCCTCAAACACACAGAAACATACAGGTTCAAAGCCACAAGAGACCACACACACACACACACACACACTCATGCCCCCTGTGCCCTCTCCATTAGCTCTTACCAGTGTAGACTTGCATTCAGTCAAAGTCTCAAACACAAAGGCAACAAATCCCATGTGCTTGGTGCTTTTCATGTCAACCAACCATCAAAATGTACCCTCGGACATCTTTGTGGCAATTTAATGATAATACTGAATAAGTACTAATAATATACAACGGTATTATTCACATTTCTCTAATGTAACGTACATCCCAAAAGCATGAATTGTGTCAGTATGTTATGCAGAAAATGTCTGGTAATTTTTGGATGGTGGAAATTGGAAAAAAAACAGGCATAAGTTTTAGAATATAGTGCATGTGTGTGCAGAGGGCACTCTCTCTCTCTCTCTCTCTCTCTCTCGGTCTTCATCACATACATACATTCGTTTAGAGTTAGAGTGTGATTAGATGGAGTTTATGAGGCTTAATGAATTTAAAAGGTTGTGTTTCTAATACAAACGTTCCAGCATTCCCTTTCGTACTATACTGAGTAGCTGACATTAAAAGCATTTTTCTGTGACAACCAGATATGTGGCTTTGTGCGCCTTCAATCAGAGCTCAAAGCAAACACACATGTTGCTGCTCCACTGAAGGATTCATGCACACCCACTGACACACACTCCCGCAAGGGTGCAGAAAGAGCTGTTAACTTTTTTCTTGTCTTCTCCTTCTCTTACTTGTCACCCACTGGAAAAAAAAACAGCCAAACGGGGTTGTGTTTGCTTTCTAACTTGCACGCTAAAGCTGGGCCACTTGTCCTCAAATGATTTCCCTTTTCAAAAGGCAGTTAAACAGGACGTCAGATGCTGCTTCAAAACACACCGCAGCTCTGATATCTTTATAACACAAATGCAAAAATGCACATGTGCAGATATGCCGACTAGAACATTATGAAAAGAGTGACAGTGTCTATCTGTTAAAAGGAGTGAAGTAGATAGATGGTTGAGCGTGAGACTAACTTCATCTCCAGAATCTCCTCCAGCTGTTTGCGTCTCTCGTGCCGAAGACTGTTGAGGTGTCCGTCTCTCTCGTGCAGGGACTGCTGAGTGGAGGACAGATGCAGTTTGGTGGCATCAAGCTCCTGGCGTGTCTTCTCTAAAGCCCCCATCAGCTCCTCCAACTGTTCAAGGGGAGACACAAATACGCACAGGTTTAAACAGTATCGGCAGATACCAGGATACTTACCACACGTCTACTCTTTCATAAAAACCAACATACCTGCAGTCTAACACACGCACAGTACCAGTCAAAAGTTCAATTCAAGTCAATGAGAAAGTGTGTCCAACACTACAGTACTGTACACAGAGAACTGGTAAAGGAATCAGATACAAAATGATTACGCTTTCATCACACTGAATTGCCGTGTGTTGAAATTCTATAATTCAACACAACAAAGTTGTTAGTCTGACATCTAAATGCAGGTGAAATGATGTTGGTTCAAAGGTTACATCACAATGATATGTCCAATGACCCTCAGACTAGAAACAAGGGTTCCTTCTTCTCTCCCCATCTTTTTCCACTTATTACATCTCAAGATCTCAAGTGTGGCTCTACTTTAGAGCAGGTGAGAATAATGCTCAACCCCTCAACTGCGTCTGAAACCACATGCCCTCAAGTCATGCCGGCCAGCCCGCGTGTCTGAAAGACAGGATGTGACCTCAGGGCGTCATTATCTTAAAACAGGAACTGTATAATTGTCTATCAACAAGTTCTTTACAATAGGATGGAACACTAGGGAGGCTTGTTCGGATGATGTCCTTTGATGGCCTCAGGAATTCAAATCTTTAATAATAATAATAATAATAATCGTAAGGTGTAAGATAGTTAAACAATACATTCTGTAGTGTTGGAAGCAAAAGGAAACATATTGAAGGCAAAGCATGAAAAAAAAGCATTAGCGGGAGGCACTCCGTGGGGTAGGACATGAAAAAAGGAATGGGCCTCTATTACGAAGGGGCCAAATCGTTCACACATTTTCGGGACACTCTCCATCTTCGCCGGCTTTGTAGGTGTGTTTCACAGATGTGAGATAATGTTCTCGCTGACTGTTCATGAATATCACATATGGAGCGAGAGAAGAAAGGTTGAAAACCATGCGAGTGGGGAATACAGATATTTGAAATGGTGGGAAAAAGGACAACTTCTGTCATGACTCCCTTGAAATGTAACAAAGCAATTGACCTCGGTAGTATCCAGCGGCTAATATAGCCAATATCAACAAGACATCCAACCGTTCGAAATCACAGCATGTTTAATGTTGGATGCCTCCTTTCAGGCTGAACACAATCCAAAACCAGTCTTTTCATCTTCAAAGTCAAGGGTCACACACACAAAACTCCATTTACACCCACCACATGTCTATCAAGCCTCATGCACCGACTGGCCACCTCCCAGTCCCCCATTAGTCCACCACCCAGGCCAGCCCTCGCTTCACAATCACATCATTAATAAGGAATACAATGCATTTTAGTGAAATTAGGGACCTAATCAGCTTAGCAGTGAGCCTGTGCGTGCTAATTTAGCCCGACTTCAAGGCAAACCCCCCCAGCCAGGCTAAGGCTCGGTAAGACTGTGCCCAAAGCCCCTTTAGGTGCTAAGCTGATTGTGGGGGATCAGCGTTAAGGGCCAAATCCCTCTTGTCCATTTGCGTCGGTGTTGCTGGTTCAGAGGCCGAGTTCAAACACCGCAGAGGGAGAGAGGCGAGGAGAGATGGGAACAGAGATGGAGAGAAAGGAGGAGATGATTGGCTGAGACAACTTAAGAAGGCAGATTGGGAGGAATGAGGCTTGGGACAATGAACAAAATGCAGAAAAGATGGCAGGGGAAGACATGAGACATGGAGAGAGAGTGAGGGACTTAGAGAGCGGGGGTGCGAAGAGAAGTGACCCAGGGCATTACCCACGCTTCATTTCAGTAGGTCAGACTGATGGAAGACTTTGTTTAGCGTATTACACATCATGAGACTGATTACTCTGAGACGGACAGACGAGAGAGAAGAAAGAGGAAAACCAAAGAAAGACTGCGCGGGGGGGTGAGAAGGCGAGACTGGCAGGGCGCTCTGAAACGGTGCCAGGGTCAGGTGATGTCTCAGAAGCAACTGTCCCACTCTCCGTTCCCCCCACACATCACCCCTTTCCACACACACACACACACACACACACACACAAGCTCTTTCTCTGGAGTCTGAGGCAAGAGCGTCAGTTGAAGGACGGCTGTGTAACTGCAGGTTAACGGCATGTTCTGCCTCGCTGTGCGGTGACGTCGCGCCGGCTCACGACTGTCGCAGTGAGAACCAACGACAGGGAAGCCGTAGAGCGGCAGGTCAAACGGGGACCTCTCCTGTAGGTGAGTAGCGCCACTGCAACTCTATTTAGCAGAGTCTTGTAGAGACAGATGGACTGCCTGCCGGCTCGCTACGTTCTCAATATGAAGGGTCTGAATCGACTTGAAATTAGTTGACAATGACTGTCGGTGTTAATGGGTGTAGTTCATCAGGCTACAGTGGCTACGTCATTGTTCTGGCTACACAGGGGTAAACCTGGGTCAAATCATCACCACAGATGTCACAGAGACATAAATATTGTTTTGAACTTCTCAGTGGATAAGAATATTGTTTGATAAACAGTATCCATGCTGACTGTAAGTCAAGCGTGTAAAGTACAGAAATTGCAAAAGAGAGCCACAGTTAGGATTGGCTGGCCGCTTAATGTCCCGCTCTGTCCACCAATCCCCTCACTTTATCTTTTAAATGATCTCTATCAGATTATATCTCTGAAGGTGTGTGCGTTTTGTGTGCGTGTGCATGTGCGTGCGTGTGTGCTTGAAGCAATGCAGCCGCTTTTCTGCCTCAAAATGTTACTTCTTGTTTAAGCCGCTGATTGCTCTCATATTACTTGTGGCACTCATCAGCAATGCAAGGTCATTCTCATTGAAATGCACGCTCACACCAGGAGGAAACACACTCCCTGGCCTTGTTTCTCCCTCGACATCTACGCTCTTTATCTCACTCAAGTGAACACATTGCCAACGCACCCACGTTCACACACATCAGCTTTTTGGGACTTACTTAAAAGTGTGGACTGGCAGTCAGAAAGACTCCCAGATAGCATAGAGACAGAGTGAAAGGGACAGCCTGTACTCCCCCAATGCCACGCCTCTACAAATGTGGTAACACATTCTGATTACATGCACATAAACTCACAATGTGTTAAACGTATGCTCACATTTTTAAGCATGCAACAGCAAACTTAACGGGTGAAAAAAAGCATTCAGGGTGAATTTCTGTCCAAAGGGGTAAAATAAACTTCAACATGTTTAGAGAAATAAAAGTGAATGCAGGAAAAAGGAACAGACATGAATGTATAACTACACAGCTACACATCAATGGTTAAGGATCATTCATTAAGGGCAGCCCGCCTGCAGTTACACTCTTAGACACATGGGTGTGCACTGCAGTTACGTTCCTCACGTTGCTCCAGTGGTCCTCATTAGTTCTAGGTTAGCTTTTACCTGCATTCCATTTTAAAGGTAGGAATGAATGAGACTATCTGTGTTTGTAGGAATACGTGTATACTGTATATGGTTATATGAAGTCTTCCATTAGTGTGCAAAACAGCAAGTAAACCTGTCTCTGGGCCTGAATACGAGCAGCCTCCTCTTGCGCCCAGAGAGCCTCTCTATGTGCAGAAGTGTTCATGCTTTCCCTCAGTGCCCTCTCCAGCTCCCTGATCCCCTCCGCCGTCTCCCGCATGGCACCCTGGGAAGCTGAAAGAGGAACCCGAGGGGGCTAAAGAAGTCCAGAGGAGGAGGAGGAGGAGGCGGGATGAAAGCAAAGCAGCAAAAAACAGGGAGAGAGTGTTTTCTTTAAGTATACTTTGCTTGTAAAATGTTTCTTCAAATTATTGCGGTGGAATAACACTATATTGGAAAGAGAAAAGGTGCATTTATTCATTTTTTTTCACTGTAAAACAGAAACAAAAGGAAAAACTGACCAAAATATTTTGAAAAGCTTGTGTGAGAGAAGAACAAGACTTCTCTGAGAAGAAAGAAGACACAGGCAGGACAGTAGAGAGTGCTGAGTGATGGAGAGAGATGGTGTGTGTAAGTACTGTGACCTTGCTGACATACTCAGGAGTGTGTGCACGTGCGAGTGCGGGTGTGTGGAGTTCACCCTGCACTTTCACATGCACAGTTAGTGTGTGGCCTCCGTGACACCTATGGTGAGTTGGGGAAAAGGATCCTTCTCCACACTGGGTGATGGAACTGTTAAAGGAAAACACTGGACAGAAATAATAAACCCTTGACTCTTTCTATCCATCTCTTGTTTTATTTTTTAACTCTCTTTCCTAGTCTTAAATTGTTGACTCGCTTTCAAGTTCACAGGTTCACACTTTTCTGGGAGCAGTGCAGAAGCTTTGGAGGTACAAGGATAAGGAGACAATCTCAAACTGAGCAAGAAGGAGTTCGGTTACACTTGAAAGACACAAAGTAGGTGTTCCAAGTGGTTACTAAGAGTCAGACGCAAGAAACTAAATTAAAATAGCATTGATATGAACGACTGGATAGGAAATAAATTGCACAAAAACTGATATTTCATCTCTGAAGCGGCTGCATATGAAAGGCAGGTAATGATTTTGTAATGCTTGGAAAAAATTACAGCGTTGTAGGTTATATATGGAGTTAAACGTTAGTGTGCGTGTATCCAATGTAATCATGACGCGGTTAACCACATACGCCTATGTGTTCTGCGTTACATAAAAGGAGCTTCGGGGCAAAAAGGCTCTCACACATAGTAAGCCTAAAAAAGGGAAATGCACAGCAAGCTAAAAAGAGTAAAGTGAACGTGGAAGATGCATCTGAAGGGCCCATTTACCACCCTTATGCATATTAAAGTGTGTTTTGACCTTTGGGCCTATTTCATACACACATAGTGGTCAAGGAAGCTCCTAAACTTCAATTGCAATCATTAAATAGATGAGATGGCCTACATATAAATAACCAAAAAGGCTAATCATCGGACTTATCCAGAAATTGAATGATTCTTGAGTGTGATGAAAATGCTGCCGTGCCTGCCAAATCGCAGGCGGATACTTGTGGTTCGTCACGTCAGCACGACACAGCTGGAGGTGAGCGACAAACACCCGCACACACACACACACACACACACAGAGGCAGGCTGTGTGCGTCAGCAGTCCACAGCTGTAATTGAATGTGACAGACGGGCAGTAATTCGATGCACCAGAATCAACAAGTACCGGTCTGACCCTGCCTAACAGACAGAAATGCATGCGCACGCGCACGTGCACTACACCCACCCCACTGAGATGGGACTGCCAACGCTGGACCCATGAATGAAACCTGACCAGAAAGCTGTGCCTCTGTGTGTGTGTGTGTGTGTGTGTGTGTGTGTGTGTGTGTGTGTGTGTGTGTGTGTGTGTGTGTGTGTGTGTGTGTGTGTGTGTGTGTGGGGGGGTGCGACTGTGCGTGTGTCTGTCTGTGCACATGTGTGTGTTTTGTGATTCGTATTGCTGTCTTTCAAGAATACAAAGAATGGAAAAAGGGGCAAGAGAGATACAGAGAGTGGGGAGAAATGGAAAGATAATTGCCTATACAGCACCAATCATCACCTAATCCCCCGGGGAAGGATCATTATGGAGTCTGGCCCTTTTTGGTTTGGTGAAAGGATTATAATCACTAAAATAAACGAGCTGAGAGTGAGAGAATGCACATTTCCAGAAGCTGTATACCTATAATCCCCAGGTTCACACACACACATAAAAAACCACACACACATCTGTCTCTGTCAAAAAAGTTAAGTGTGCCGCAATAACCTCTGTGTGTCGTATTTCAAGATTTAAAAAATATTGAGCATGTGTGCATGGCCAGAAGCTTCATATATACAGTTTCAAATGTACAGACTGTGGGAACCGGCTTTGAGTGAATCTGTGAATCTTCTTTAACTGTCCCCAGATTTTCTGTAGTTCTTGTATTTCTAAATAGACTGGGTTTGGTGGTGGATATTGAGTGTTGCTGATTCCTCACTGTTACAGATAACAGAGGAATAAAAGGCCTGTGCGAAGGCTTGAATTGAACATTTCCGATGTGTGTTTTCTCTGTGTTTGTGAAGTGCAGCGTGGCGCGATGGAGACCAGGCAGCGGAGAGATACTATCACTCCATCCCACATGAACTCCCGTAGACGAACGGGGAGAGGGAGCGGCGAGGGAAGGACCTGTTTGTTTGTGTTTACCCTCGGAGCGTGCTGTGTTCCTGATGGGTCCACAGATAAATTAAAGAGAAAGAGAAAGAAACAAAGGGATACAAGCTACAACTTATTTTATTGCATAGATACATATGTATGTAGTAAGCTGGAATATGTGATTGTATCTTGTAGTACAGCTTTTACATGAATTTCTTTGAATCTTTGAATTAATTATTCCTATTTTTTCTTACCCCATTTTTAATAATGTACAGTTAAAATTGTGCTGTTAGACATGGTCTCTCTTGGACTTAAAGTGTTTTTTATTTGTGTTTTTTCTGGATTATTTCCGTTTGATCTACCAATTGACCGATTTATATATTTTAAAATACTTATAATTATCGGCCAGGTTTTAATTTGGGCAAATGACTGTAAAGTTAAGCTTGAATTCACGCACTTCCAGACATGTATATACAGTATTGCCACTGGTTAGTATTACATTGAATATATACAAAAAAAATCAACTCTGTTTTGCTGCGTAAGTCATCTATCTCCCTGACATCAGTTCCACGTCTCCCTTCCACTGGTCCATGTACCTTTTATGCTCTTTCTGGCTCTCACTTCATGTCTCTTTCCACGTTGAAGAAACATTAATGTCTGCTACTCAGACGCTGTTAAGAAGAGGAAATAGGATGTTGGATGCAACCGCCAGAAAACACAGAAATAACAAAATATCTCAACCAAAAACAGGCTCTGGTTCTTTTTGGCAGAGAGGTACAGAGAGGTGTACTCAACTTCATCGGTCCTATGGGAATAACCTGGCATGGCTGACTTCTGCATATTAACACCTCAGCACTGCTCTGCAGGCCAGCGTACAAGCATGCACACAGGCGCACACACACGCACACACACTGTCAAGCAAGCAGCTGACATCCGTGTTGACACCATAGAAAGAACTACACACATGCAAATGGTGATTTATGCTGCTCTCTTCAGCCTCGCTAATTAGTTCTTTACTATTCCCATCTGAGCCACTACGCAGGCGCTCCTGGCCGGCGCACGGAGCCGATGCCGCAGTACTTAATGCTCGTCTCTTTCATTTAGGACGGATGGTCCTAAAGTGGTGCACTGAGGGAGGTTGGGCCGGAAGCATGAAGGACTCGAAAGGGGCTCTCGTCACTCAGAGGAGCACAATTATGCACAACGGGAGACTGCAGAGGGAGACGGAGAAAGGGGAAGAGATGTTCATTTCTGAGGAGCAGCTTGTGGAAGAGATGAGGAGGAAAGAAAAGGAAATAATACACGGGTACAATGGTACAGTACGAGCCAATCTGCACTGTGAAATGAATAGGAGATGAGGAAATAGACATGAGGCCAAGGAATTGACACGATCACACACAAACACAAACCTGCGATAAAGAGTGTGGATGTCCATCAGTGTGTGCATCTTTCCTCATCTCACCAACCATTGTCTGCTTCTGGATGTTAGGCGACTTCACTTGCCTTCAGAGAGAGAAATACGGGTGACAAAAGATAAACAGACGCTCGATAGATAAATGTAAATCAATCATTTAGTACAAGAAGTACAAAAAGATTTGTAACTCACATACTATGACATATGCACAGATTTGCACAACTCCAAAATATAGAATGTATGGTATGTGTCACACGGACAGACCACCAGTCGAAAGATTGACAGACGGATGGATGGATTGATGGACGGATGCATAGATGGTGTTTTACATATAGCTGTGCTTTATTTTCGAGTTAAACGGAGCTGGGGAATTGCATCATGCGGATAAATGGTTGATTGGTGTGTACAGTAAAGCAACAAAACTTTGTGCGTGTGTTTTGTCTTAATAACACCGGGACAAGACGAGACACTGCTGTGTAAATCTTTCAGCAATAAAACACACAACCCCATGTAGGCAAGAGATGGAAGACCACGCACGAACACAAACAGTCTTAATACATGAGGTAAGTTTACAGATAAGCAACAGAAAGAAAGACACACGCACTAGTGTGTGCATGTGTGCCAGGAACACACACAAATAGCTACACACACGGGTAATAAATCTGCTGTCAGTGTTGTGCACTGGAGAGGTCCTGATTACAGAGCAAAACCTGCCAGGACGTTATGCATTTATCTCCACACAAAGACCTGCTTTTTGTCATTTGATGAACTAACTTAGCCTATGAACAGTGGCACACACATACACACACACACACACACGCACATATGCATAGAAATCTGCATTTAATACACACACAACCCTTCACGTTTATTACACTGACTGTTGGACACACATGTGAAACCACTAATCTCATCATAGAATACGCAGCTGCACTTATAAACCATCTATATCTTCTCACAAAAACTCTCAAAATAGAATAAAAACACCCTCTTTAAGCTCCCAGTTTGGCCTTGACACTTCAAAAAAAAAAATCGAAAGTGTGAAAAGGGCTGACAGTGACAAATTAGCGCTTAAGAGAACCCTCCAACACTGTAAACAGGCTGTGACCAAGCAGCTGCTAAAACGCGCCACATTATTATTCCATATCCACACGGGTGTGTTTACTCTGGGCAAAACATACAAACTGCCCCCACATATAGGCAAATATTTGCTGTCACAGCCCTTTGAATGGTGTATGTGTGTGTGTGTGTCTGTGTTTGCGTATGCATGTGCGTGTACATGTATGCGTGTAAGAGCATGCATGTGTGCATGCGTTTGTGGGTTGATCAGCTTTTATGAGTGATGTTGGTTTGCAATCAATGTGAAACACCTGAAAAGATGATTAATAAATGAAACACACAAATATTTACAAACACAAAGTGCCTTTTAAAGAAAGTTTTTTTTTATAATAACAGATGACAAACCAGAACAGAATTTACGTCTAATATTACTCTTCTCTTCCACAAAAACACAGCCAGTTTATTAGGCATGTCATTCCATGTCTCCGGCTTACTTCTTTATTTCTTTTTTTATGACACTGCTGCTGATTTTATACGGTTTTATCATTTTTACGAGGTGGATATTGAAAAGGTTTGCATAAAAAAAGATTATCATTCAATTCTGTTACCATTATGAATGAATAATATATATAAATATGTGCGTACATATTTACACAGTGCAGAGGCGGAGGAGAAGTTATCTGTCTGTACTCTGATCTTTGATGTCTGTCCATGGAGAGCAAACTTCACATGAGGGCATATCAGCTATCGCGTACAGCAGCCGCTGGCGCAGGTGTATAAACTAGCAGACACGCTGGTCCCTTCACACTGCTGATAAACCCCCCATCAGCCCATCAGGGCAAAAGTAAGTGTTTTGACCACTGAGAAGGCAAATGAGGGCACGTAAAGTGCAGGAGCAGACGCGCTGTGATGCATGTGAATGGAAAAAGGAGAGCAGCGATTTGAACTGTTGAAATAAATAAATTCAAGGCGGTGAATAATATTTTATTACTGTCCCATTTCTTAGAAAGATGAAGTGAGAGAGAGAGAGAGAGAGAGAGAGAGTGAGAGAGAGGGGGGGGGTCGTGGAAGAGAAAGAGCACCGTGAATGACTTTAGCCATTTCTTAAACTGAGCGTAATAAGTAATTTTTCACAACGTTTTTCACCTTGAGCATTCCACACGTCTGCCTTCCAACATAAGCAGCTCAAATTGATTTCTGGCTTTAAAAGCACAGCACATTTGTTTTCCTGTCTCTACAGTTATTTCTATCGTTCTTTTTCTCAGCCACATTGTTTTTAAGTTTTCCCTTACTTGTTTCCTATTGTTTTTTCTCTCATTAATTAATGATCATCTAACTTCACCCAATGAGCACTGCCAGTGTGCCCTAGAGCAAGGCACAAAGATCAACTGAATGGCTTCTGTAGAGCTGCCAAGTGGCCAAAGGCAGGAAGTTGCGGTCATACAGAGACGCTCCCGGATCTCAATGTGGGAAACCGCCAATATTAAGTGGGGTTTTTCTGTAAAAGAGTAGGCATTCTCAGCTGACTATTCCCAGGTAAATATAGTTTAAAAGGATAAATAACCTTCTAGGAAAATGTTTTAGATTTCTATCTCCCCCTCATAATTCTCAATTCTTACCAAGTCTCCCCCTCTTCTCTCAAATCAGATTTTAAGCACTAGTCCAGCATAGATGGAATGAGGACGAGGTTTTGACTACGTCTGAATTGAGTACGTTTTCTCTGCGCAAAACAAGGTAGAGTACAAAAAAAGGAGAGGAAAACAAATGAGGGTCTCTGCAAGTACAGCAAAAGGCTGTTGGATCAACGCTGGAGTTTTATCTGGGGCGCTGCTCTACATGAAGTGCTGTGAGATCCAAACAAAAAAAGAATGTGTTTATTACTGATGCTTTATGAGGCTTGGATTTATTGACTCTTATCGCAACGCAAACACTGTTTCAGTGTGTCGCCTTTGCATATTTTCAGTGTGTGTGCGCGCGTGTGTGCGTGAAACAGAAAAAAGAAAGTGGAAGAAGATCCCTGGTGCAGGTGCTACTTGTCCACACTTCTACAGTTAAACAGGAAGTTTATGTCTTCTTCAAAGCTAATAAATGGACTTTTAAACAGTATGTACACCTGAAAATACACACATAAATGTGCAACGTTTGAACACCTTTTTATCAGGTGCACGGATACAGTGTGTGTGGTTTACAAAACACCGGTAATCTCCACAGTCTGATTTAGGTCATTGGAACACGTCCCAAAGCGATGTGTGTCTAATTATTTCTTAGAGATATAATTAAGTAGTCTTTATGTTGGCAAATGGTTGTTGGAGGGAATGAACATTCGTTAAACCGTCGGTTTCCACCCGCCAACAAATTTCACACACATACAGTTCATATATATAAGTTCACATATTAACACACACACACACACGCACACACACACGCTTCCCTTTTCCTGGAACCCTCCCATAAATACCAGAGTGATTACCACGTCACTAGCTGTGATACGGTGCGACTGGGAGGTTGATTCATTTCTTTAGTTTAGTCCTCACTTGGCCGCAAGAACATTAAGAGAATACAACTGTAAAATTATTCAACTATCTAAAAAATGTCCACTCGTTGACACGGAAAAGAAAACCTCCACGTTTCCCAGAGACGGCATCAACCAATCAAAAGCATTTCCCTTTTCAATCAGCATTATTTGGTACCGTGTTTCGTTAGTCCACAATGTGTGCACAAACTACTCAGAGTTCAGAAACCACGTATTTCCGAGTTGTGCTTGACAAATGCAACTGTTAATGTTAATGTTAACAGCTGATCGAGCCTGTTTAGTCTCCCTGGTCACTTTTGTGTATAACAGCAAGGATTTGCAACAAAACACATGCCGGTGAATAAGGCACCAACAATAAACTATTAAATGTTATGACTGATGACTTACATTAGATCATTGAGAGATCTAAGCTAAGAAACAGTTGTCAACAAGTCTCCCCTGTGCTGGGAGGTATTTATTACAATGACCTGCTGGCTACGTTTGTCTTTGACTTTCTCTGCTTCGTTGCCAACTGGATGAGAAAGACTCTTTTTATTCTCTCTTTCCATTGAGATATCGCTTAATAGGCTGTCTGACCGAGTTCCAGAAGAAACACTCTGATTAAAAAGACATTCATCCTCTGCCCAGACGCTTCTCACACAGGAGTCCAATCACCGAGCGGACACACTTGTCCGCCTATATGCTGTCACATAACACATGCGTGCAGAAACGCACCAGTGCAGTAATTGTTGTGTTTGTATTGATGTTAAATATCTTGGTTAACTCTCGATAACGGGCAAATGAAATTCAACCCCAACTTAATGTGATTGAAATGAACCATGGCTGTTCTCCACGGAGTACGTGAAGTGTGTTTTTGTGTGCTTTTAACTTTCCAACACAATCCATTCTATTCCGTAACCCGTGATATCACAGCGGCGGTGTGCACGACTGCAGAGGATCCTCCCCTGATAACCTGCAGCTGACACGCATGTGACCTCTGACTCGTCCCGTTGCTGACCGGAGAGGAGGGGTCAGACTGATAAGAGTGACTGTCTGACACTAATGAGACAGCAGCGCCAGAAAGATGGACGAGCTGAGGGAAACTCTTCCGATGCTTGAATCCCAACGCTTCCCGTCAAACGAGGGGCCGCGTACCAAAACCCGAAACGCACAGATCAACACACACTTGCACGGACGCACTCTGGGGACGGCTGCTTGTGGGTAGCAGACACATGTCGAGGTAGTCGAATGACGCACAAACGCATTGAAACAGTGTAGACTGTGGGAACAAACTCTGCGGGAATTACTGCGCACCTATTATACCCGATGCTCATGCGTTCCCACACAGTTTGAGTCAGCACATGGCTTCCATGCCAGAGTCTGTAAAACGGGTAATGAATGAATGCGGCAGGCGATTTTTTTTTTGGGGTGGGGGGATTCGGCACATGCGACCCATCCGGATGCATTCTGAGCTATTAAGGACCGAAGCTTGCGTTTGTGTCACAAAACTGTTCTTTCATATGCTGTTTTCGCGACCGACCGAACTATCAACCTACACACACACACACACACACACACACAGACTCAACTAATTATAATCCCTTTAGATGCACACTAAAGCAAGCTACTTATTCACACATACATACACATATAACACCTCTGTGTTGGCACTCAACAACCAGTCTTTTCGGCACATGTACACAACATTCCAGTCCATAAATCAGATGATAATTGAGTAGCATTGCACCAGTCATAAACAGAGAGGTATAAACAGTCAGTGTCACTCCCGCTGGCATGCTACTAGCTGCCAAAAACACACGAGCACACACACACACACACACACACAGGCCTACGGCACACACACACATTTGCTAAATGCGTTTACAGTAATGCAGAAAACACAACCACTTACCTGTTGGGAACAGATACATGTAAAAACAGTGTGATATGAGGAAAAACACAGATGATAGCAAAGCAATAGAAAGGATTTCTGCAGATGTCAACGCAACTCTCATTGTGTTATTGCTGTGAAAGAGATGAGGACCAGAATGTTTGCCATGAATGCACAGGACATTTATTGTCCCACTGCAATACTCAAATCAGAGTTTGCTGGGAATCATGTGAGCCAAAAATGCCCTGACGTACAACTTTATACCTCGGGAAAGTGTAAAACTAACCCAACAGCCATGAATCGATGTCAAACGTGATGGCTAGGGATAATATCAGCGGTATTGTGATGATATGTTTAACAGGCACACTGAAAACTACTTACCCAGGTCTGCAGACGTTGAGACACGGAAACAAATGATAGGATATTAAGCAACATGATTAAAAACCTCACATGTGCAAACAGTAGGTAACACTGTGCAGTGTGATTACATCAGGCAAAAAGCATGACTGAGTGGAAGTGGTTTCAAGTGCTGGGAGGACTAAATCTAGACAGTTTATGTCTCGTGGATTACTCCTTTATAAATAGAGCACTTTGGAATGATTTTAGATCTTTAAAAGATCCGGTCACTTGAAAGGACAATGCGCTGTGAGGACACCCAGATGGCGTCTTGTGATGTATGTGAATGTCACTGGATTTTTGACCCTCACCTCTCAAGATTCTCGATTTTCTGCTCCTTGCACAACTTGTCCATCTCAGCGTCCCTCAGAGCTGCCATTAGCCTCTCAACCTCCGACTGTGACTTCCCAGATTCCTCTTTGTTGCGAGCCACTTCCTGCTCCAGAAGCCTCAGACGATCTGTGATGTCTGGACACTTCCGGACCGTTTCTTCCATGTTTTGGGTCTTTCAGAGGAAGACAGAACACAGAGAGCAATTAGATGCATAACTAATACACAGATTATTGTATCAAAGCAGATATATAGTCACCAATTTAGGAAACCCAGTCCCATCTTTGTGAGACTTGTTAGCACAGTTACATATTATATTATGAGAATTTACTTAGTCACAAACCTATACCACAAACAAAGAAGCATAAAATAAAGAGAACCTACTGTGGCGCTTCCTGTTGGAGGCTTATCTACTTTGGTTTCAACCTATAAATGAATACAGAGAGATAAAACAGATGTTAAAATAAGTATAATACAGTAGAAGAACCAAGTGAGAGGTTGGACCCTGATAATTACAAAGGGTCGATTGTGAGATCATTGTGCAAGGGCAGCTTAAAGCAAAGGTAAGTCTATCCTGAGTATGTGGTTAGAGGCACAGTCTAGCTGAAGCAGAACCAATCTGTGCCCCCCCTTGACCCCCCTCACCCACCTCACCCCTCCTTCACCCCCCCCGGGTTCCTCTGCTGCCTGCGTTTCTGTGGTTTACGTCTGTCATTTGCCTCCCCGGGGTGTCCATCACGTATCACCATCACGAGTTTGGAGTTCAGTCATTATCATCATAAAATAACTGTCTCTGTATTTGGCTGCAATTTTATGGGACCACCAAACATTTAAAAAAAAAAAAAAAATCTAAGTAACATGTTGAAAAAAAAGTTACACTGATGAATTCTTTCTTCTCTGAGAAAAATATCCCAGAGGAAGTTTGCACCCTAGAATTATCTTTCTCCCGCTTTCGCTTGGTCTTCACTTCAGTCTGTCTACTGTGTTTGCGAAGATTGTTTAACTTGTTGAAACAGCTGAGGCCACTCGTTTAAACATCATCGAGTGAGCGCGCACAAACACGGTCACACACACAGACACACACACAGACACACGCCAGGCAGTTTATCGTTTACTGTACATGCAGCTCTGCTTCAGTCTGTCTTTGTTCAATATTACCACTAGTCAAACAAATGCCTCTTTTCACCTTATCATTTCCCAGATAGACATTATGCAAAGAGAAGATGCATACTGAGGTAACTTAGCAGGAAGAAATCTGCATATCAAAATACTGACTCAAAATGTCAATCATTACATCACTACTACAACTATGACTCCCTTATTCTGTCTTTCTTTTTTGTTAAAACATTTCTATGTCCGTGGATAGCCTTTGACTAACCTGTCTAACATACTTTCCAATGGCACGCGTGTGACCTTGTGTGACCTAATGTGCACACTATACAAACGTGACTGTAGGATTACGTGATGTGAAAAAGGGGAACACTTGGCCCTCTTCATAGCAAGCTGAGTCCGTTTACTTCTTCTTCTTCCCCATTACCTCCAAACCCAGCCTCATTGACTCGTGCACTCCCATCAAACCCAATCTTAGCTTTCACAAAACACATTAGGCCTAAGTGGACAAGATTTTGTTATGTTCGTTCAGTGGAAAGCTGAAAATGCTGTTGAAGGGAGAGCATAGGCTGAGAGGACATGCGGTCCAGCAAGAATTAGTGATATTATGACAGGAGAGGCAAGGCCAGTAAAGATAAAATGACATATTTGGTCAACGGAATTATTATTATCATTCCTGGAAAAGTCTCAGTCTCAGTGTAAATATTACAAATAAGTTAAATATGTGTGGCCACCAGGATCGCAACTGGGTCAGGGGATAACCGGTACCAAAAAAGGGCTGGGTAGCTTTTAAAATAAGGTTTTGGCTACAAAAGATAATACGCGTCTTTGTATATTTAGAGATGACAGCATTAAATCTCATCATCATCAACAAAGGTAAGAAAATGCAACATCGACCTGGTTTGAAAAGAGTCTTTTGAACGGGACTTAAAAGTGAGGTGAGATGTGGCGACTGCTCGCTCCGCTTTAGGCCGACCATCTTTGGAGAGGTCGTTGTCTTCCCTGAGTTTCGTGACAATTTTCTCTTTGAAGAACCAGTGTTTAGTTCCAGAAGTCCTTTATTAAGCCCGGCATCAACAAATACTGTTTTATGGTAAGAGGATGAGGATGCAGTGAAGTCAACAGAGCTTTGAGGTCAAAACCTCCGCTAACAGCTTGACCGAGTCACCCATACAAACATCTTCGGTGGCCTGTACACGACCCAATGGCAACACAAATTATATGACAGTTTAAAAAAGCTCATTTTTACTTGCCAGCATTCGGATGAAAGTACACACGGCCGCCGGGATCAAATGGTGTTATACACTGGCTGATGTATATGTGAGGTCTGTTTGAACGGAATCTAATCTCATCGTTCAGGTCTCACATACTGAGCGTCACACATCAACAAGACCAGACGCACCTGTGCACATTTAGACACCACCACCAGACAGACCATAAGACCGCATGCACGGGCACACAGAAGGAAACAGACACACACACACTCACAAATAGAAACACACAAACGTCAGCTTTGTTTTTGAAGAATCAGCAAGTTTACATAACAGGTCTGATTGCTGCCAGGTACAGAGAAATGTCCCGTTATGGCAGCGAATCTGTCGGAGTGTGAAACCGCCTCCTCCGAAGACTTATGGAGCTGCTGTCTCTTTCATGTGGTGCCGTGTCAACATTCAAAAAGTTATCATTTCACAGGAATGAAATGTGTGTATGCTTTCTGCGAGAATAAAAGAAAACATTCTCATAAATTCTGGCGATGCAAGATTCTGTCCTGGCTTGTGAGACTGGAAGAGACAAAAAAAAAAAGGGATCAAAACCGAGACAGTGCTAGAGGGATCTTCTACGTCCATAAATCACTCTCTTTTAATCCATGCCTTTATCCTGTGGGACAAAGTGCAGGCAGGCCCTCTGCTAACAATATTGTGGATGCACATGGGAGGTAAAAGAGTGGAATTACTGTTACTGTAGATGTAAGCAGTGTAAATACAGGGTGCAAGTAGTGTATTACAACCCGTGCAGAATGGTTGTAAAAGTTTGAATTATTTTAGGTCAATGAATAATAATCATAAAGCATCACAATGTTCGTTTGAAGTCAAATGTTTCGGGGAAGGTACATTAATTATTTGTTTTATGTTCCTTGAAATGAGATTGTGTGTTTGGGCTCATTTTACAGCTTGGCACTGGAGGCGAAGCCTGTGCAAGTCTGTTATGATGTGAATAACGATTAAATATTGATGGTGGTTTGTCTGCAGTCTGTACATATCTCTATCTCTAGACTATCAATCTTCTGTACAATGCCTGTATCAACACGCTTATCGTTTCAACCGCAAGTTCTGCTTTAGATGGTTCACATAAAATGCACTACAATAAACATATTTGCAAAAACACTGCATATCACACACACACACACACACACACATTTTTTCTGCCATCTACAAAACATCCTTTCCTAAGTTATCAAAACAATGCATACTGACCGCTCCATCGGGCCTCTGGTTCTGAGTCAGGACGGAGTTAGCAGGCTGACTCTGGGGCAGTTTATGGGGCTGCAGGGCTGAAAGTGTTTCCTTTAATACCTGGTTCTCCTTTCTCATCTGCTCCAGCTCCTCCAGCCGAACCCTGTCTTCCCGATCCTTCTGCTCACGCAGAGCCTCGATTACCCGCTCCTGAAATGGCAAAAAAAAAGAGAAAACAATGTTTGATGAGAGGTGTGACGAGTGCCGCGGTAAAGTGCCTGGACAGCCACCATCTGCATGAAAGCATGTATCTTGCTTCCAGGGTGCAAAAGATGATGAGCCCTTTGTGATTTCAGTTCTTTCTGTCACACCTGTATGTCAAGTTGCGTTTTTGTCCTGTCTCCAGTTGTTTTTTGACTTCCTGTTTTATTTTGGAAACTAACTCCCTCTCGTTTCAGGTCCCTTGCCCTTCCTCATGTGTCACCAGTCTGATTGTCTCCCCTGATTCCTGATTGTGTCCACCTGTTCCCACAACTCCCTCATGGGTACTTATAGTCTGCGTCGCCCCTTGTCCTGTGCCAGTGTGTCTTGTTGTTTTGCCCTGCACACCAGCCCTCACGTCACGAGTCAAGTCAAGTCCGATAACGTTTGTCACGTCCTTTTGATCCCTATTACATTTCCTCGTTTAAGAGAGATTTTGAGTTTTTGCCTTTTGAATTTTGATCTCAACCTTTTTTCCTCATTTAGAGAGATTTTGAGTTTTTTCCTTTTGAACTTTGATCGCGACCTTTGTTTCCTCGTTAAGAGAGATTTTCAGTTTTTTCTTGTTATTAATAAAAAGCAATATCAGCTGAACCCTCTGCGTCCGAGTCGTCCTCCTTCCTGCCTGACACTTTCCTATCAATATGGAATTACTTTAGCGGGTGGGGAGGGGGGTCTTGCTGTCGAGGCTCGCCAGCATGCCCAGCAAAGTGAGGCTAAAGACAAAGTCATAATTGCCCATTATGAATAATACTAACAGCGCTAACAGCACAGACCCGAGGAGACCAGAGCCAAGAAGAACAGAGAGAGATGGTGAAAGCACCAGAAGGGTTGAGGGACGGAGACATATTAATTGTGAAAGGATTGGACAGGACTGTAGATCACTTCCTAGCACTTTTTCATTTCATGCTGATAAGCAAAGTTGGAATGTTTACATCACAATTTTCTCAATTCACTGATCACATCAGACAGTGGGAGGACTACAGCTTCGGGCATTGGCATGAGACCAGGTCCGCTCTATGGGTGGTGGAGCACGCAAGGTGTGTAGAGTGTGTGTGTGTGTGTGTGTGTGTGTGTGTGTTTAGGTGTGGACTTAAGTGATTATCAAGGTGTTTACCCAGGTGTTTATTTAGGCGCAGAGCTCAGCTCAGCAATGAGGCTTTACGATGTGGCATCGCTGCTTGATTGGCGGCTTTAAAACCTCCGGTAATTGAACAAATAGACTCACTAACTAAAGCTGGCACAGAAACGCACTGCATAGTGGGCTTTGCAGGATGGGGAGAGGGAGAGAGAGAGAGAGACCACAGGACTGAATGGTCCTGGGTGTTTTCACCACGTTATGAAATATCTCTAGAATTTTTGGGGTTGAAGGAAGAGACCAGGAGGCGATAATACAATCTGCCTTTATGAGACTCAAGTGGGGAGTACCCATAAACACAACAAAAATACATATTTGATCAGAAACAGGCTCAGTCACACGCGTATGCAAAGACCAAAGCGCAGGGCTCGGCTCGGGCAACTTGCCTCAGCCTGTTAATTAGAACCACAGCACTGTGGCGAGCGACTGGCTCCAAGAGCGGGTTTGTGACGGGGAGCGTGATTAGCAGCACACACACTCGCTCTTGTAAACACATTGCACCCACCCTGTGTTGACCTCAAAGTCTGAAAAGCCTCGCCATAGTTCTCCTCATCGCAGCTGAATTATATGTAGGCTTCATCAGAAGTGGTTTCTGGGTAAACGGGGCAGAGGCTGAAAATGGATTTATGGCTCACTGTGGCCATTATGCTACTCATTGAAACGTCTGTCCGCAACAAAAACAAATGTATAGGTGATTTTCACCGGTGAGAATTTAAAGAATTTAAAGGAAAATATCTATGTAGTGAGTGAAAAACCCATAAGACTGCATAAAGTCTATAAATAGATATATTTCAGTGAGCAAAATGCAAACGTTCGTTTTTCCAGTAGATTAAATAAATAGTTTAAGTCAGAATATAGGGAGACACACTCCACACATATCTGTCACGAACTAAAGTGTCAAAATTCTTAACGTTACACACATTTCTTATTAGGCTTTGTTAGACGACTCAGACAAAAATGTTCTGGTTTAATTAAACCCTTTTTTTAAATGTCAGATCAAAGCGTCAGCTGTTTGCAATATGCTTCACAATGACCCTGTCGTTGTGGCTGATGACATCCAATCATATTCTCCGGTTAGGAGAGATGCATGACTCAAATGTTATAATGGCCGGTGTTAGTTGTTATAATGGCCTGTAGAGTGTTTTCTAGCATTTTACCTTCACCCTTTAGACGAGTAACTCACACTAACGTAGCAGACAGCAATATGTCCACATTAACATAAAAACTGTGGCAGCCACCGAGAAAACAAGAAGTTACAGCTGGACAGCCACATCTGTTCTCACTAGGAACTGTACTGACCCTTAAGTAGCAGCCGGTGCCAACAAAATATAAATCTTTTTGCCATCTTTTTGCCTGCAGTACAAACAAACACATAAATGGGAACCTTTTAGTCTGCAGCTCCAAATAAATCCTTTTTAATACTGAAGTACCAACAACTTCAAACTTGCAACAAGCACAAACAATTGTAAATCCCTTTGAAATAAAGGCAGTTAGTTCCAGGTGGACTTTATTTACATTAGGACTAGGATTAGACATCTCCTCTTTTAATGTTGGTGGGGCATGCTAGCTAGGGTTTTATGGAGACTAGCTGCTTGTTGTTGTTGGAAAACAACAAATGCGAACCCTCCAATTTATGCTGCAATATATTTTCAGCATGAATTTAATAATAGTCTCCCTATATATATATATATATATATATATATATATATATATATATATATATATATATTTATTTATATTATATACATGGATGCATATTATACTATGTACTAAGGCTATGTAGGCAAATATAGTTTAAAATCAATGATATTGATATTTTTGGAATGGTAGTCCATTGAGACTTAAAAGAACAGTCTCTTTCATCAAGTTCCTTCACGGTCAGTTACTATTTTTTCTTCTATATGTTGAAGGCTGTGTTATCTGGAGATGGATTTTCATTCCTGTCTGATCCTTTGTAACATTGTTCCTCTTGCCAGCTCTGTTCTTTGTCTTCTTCTTTTTTTCAAATGCCCTGCAGAAGTTACTCATTATTTACTCTGCCTCTATCCTTACATTCCTTGACCTCTTCCTCCCTTAATTTTGAGGCCACCTCTTCCATCAGGGCTGTGCCTCTTCTGCCTGCCATTGCACTTTTCCATTCCTCCCCTTTTCAAAACTTCTATCCTTTTATTCCCTCCCTGCGTTCAGCACAGTTACAGACAGGGACTAATCCTCTGTCTAGGTTCACCTTAGACCTCCCTTCTCCTTCTTTCCTTTACCGTTTTTATAAAGGACCTCATCTAGTGTGGTCCAAGGCCTATAAATCAAGTGCCTATGATAGTAAATCACGGCATTGAGTCATAGCAAAGAACACAGCTTAATTAAGCCATATGTTGGCTTCCTGAAAGTGTGCCTCACTTGGTAAAAATTCCCAGACCAGTTCTTGGTCAAATTGTGTTTTTATTCACTATGTATAGTATAGTCTGATGTTTTGTCTACATTTGACCAACAAGTATTCATTTCCTCCATCAATAGAGTGCATAGTTCCTCTCACCATGTCTCCAGCAACTGTTCCAAAGGAGCAACCTCGAACCTCACCTTGGGTGTCTTTTCTCAGCAGGTTCTGTCAGATTATCTTGACCTCTGACCTTTTCAATGAGGCCATCCTCCTCCTCCTCCTTCTCCTCCTCCTCCTCCTCCTCCCCTCATACCTCCCATCCCGGTACCTTTTCTGACAGAGCTTCCTCGAGAGTGGTCAGCGCTGTGTCTGTGTTGCTGGAGTCAGTCTGAAGGCCCTGGACCCTTTCCCTCAACCCGGCCAGCTGTTTGTCCTTATCCTTTAACTGCTCCAACAGGTTCTCAATCTGGAGAGAGGACAGACACGGAGAAAGAGAAGAGCGCAGGTTACTAGCATGCTGATGTGAAACAAGTCTTATGGCAAAGAAAGGCTTAGACCAACCCTGAAAAAATTAGTGATTAGTAAGTCTTCGCTAAGGCTTGTGGTTAAAAAAAATGATGAGTGGATCCATGAAGAAAGAAGACGCTGGGCTCTGTTTAGTAGCGTCACACTAACAGTTGATTCAGCCCTTTGGCCCATGGGACTGTGCCTCTGCTTTGGCCTTTCTGCGGCCGACCTCTTCTCACTAAAGTGTTGGTGCAAAAGCCAGTTGTTGTTTCCAAAAGTCTTTATCTGATGAACATCTACCAAACAGGAAATAAAAAGACACATACACCCCCCCCCCACACACACACACACAGGCACACACACAAACAAAAAACGCTCCGAGCTGTACCAACTAAAACACTAGCAGATGCAGCTGGAGGTGGGCACGGCGCGATGCAATGAGACTACAGAGGTCTACAAATAAGTAACAAAGGGAAAGCACATGTGATGACAGGATATGGTGACATGGTGACTTATGATTTCCACAAGCACACCATTCTACATTCCATTGAATTTGAGTTTAGGTCATTTTAAATTGAAATTTTAAAAGTTGCACTCCGTTTGATCCCCTGAGACCCATTCAGTGGTAAGGAGCATACTTCTTCTTGTCTCGAACTTTTTAGAACCTTTAGAAGTCTTCTTTAGTGTTTTTTTCTACAGATAGACAAAGCACCATTCACTCACTGCTGTAAACCATTAATTCCACATTTAACCCAAGTGGTCCTTTCTCACCTCGGGGCTTGAATTTGACAAAGTAAAGGCACATGCAATGAAAGGAATTCATTATTTAATGAACATGAGCATCCAATAAAAGAAATATAGGGAAAGCACTTGAGGCCATCAAGAGACTACAATTTAACTGAGCTGGTGGGAGGCCAGAAAATGCCTAGTGGGGGGGACAAGCTGCATTCCAGTCATGGGTACATAGATAGATAATGCCCAAATCTCCACAGCTATTTTACAAATGAATCCAATTAGGCTTCAGACTTTGGTGTTCTCTGCTCACTGGAGGGCAAGCGCAAAGATTTCAAGGAGCCATCTTGGTTTGGGCAATAGAGGGAAAGTGACAAGAGGGGAAGGGAAAATGCAGTCAGGACCATTGGGCAGATCTTGATAGGTTAATGACAGTCATTATCCAGCCGGGCTAAAAGTTCTGGTTGGTCAGTCCACAAGCGATAGGGACATCAAACCCTTCAGGGAATGATGGGAAAGCTTCACACTACTAAAGTCAGATACTATTCCCAGCAATTCATGATTGCCAATGGGTGTGTTGGATCAGATCTTAGGGTTTGATGTTGTGGGAGAGGGAAAGAGGAAAGTTGATTATTCTCTTGTGTTTCTCTGATTTTAAGTGAAACAGCTGAAGAGGTACTTTTCACTTAGTTTCCAAGGAACGCAGCCACTTAAGTTGCGAAACTAGACACATTACAACATTCTCTGTCTACATCACGAAGCGCCGATCAGATTAAACAAGACAGACGCTCCACGCGCATTAACCATGAGACAAAGCACAAACAAACCAAACATGGTTTTTGCCTCTAGTTGTATCCGCTCTGTAGCTTTGACATACCTTGTTAAAATAAACAGTAAAAAAGTAAATAGCCAACGAAACGCATACTGTACATTTGCAATCGTGCACACCACAGCTCCCCATTTCCTACAGACACCACAGAGCCCTATTTTAGGTCAAATTGAGCATATTGCCCTCTGGTCTTAGATAAATGATTACATTCTTCACCAAGCTTCAGTTTGCTTTGGCCTGGTCACATAAAATAACAACCACTCGACGAAATATTCAGCCACGTCGCTGTGCCTCCTGTGAAATTGTGCAGAAAAACTTTTAACAGAACTTAAATGTTCTGCTGAGGAGTCACATGAGTCATTGATATGGGAAAGAGGGCGAGGAATTCTGTCATAATTTGCAAAGTCAAAACATACTCCCCCAAAGACAAATGCTGGGCAGCCGCATGCCTCTCTCGGACAGACAGAGGTGTGGGGGGGGGCAGTTGCTCGATTGTTATGATGAGTGCAGCCGTCATTCTTTTTATCTCTCAGTATATGAGGCTACCTCGAACTATACTCTCACTCACACACACACACACACACACACACACACACACACACACGCTTTTATCATTATAGCACTGTGTGCAGATGTCATCCCGCTCTCCAACCACACACACCTCCCGCTGAAGCAGACCACCTACGATCGGCCGCTACCAGGATGCTATGGGCCAGGCGCTGCGGTGTGGACTGTCTGTCTCAGTGAGTGTGTATCCTCTGGAGGAACCATAATGCCTGTCTCATTTATGTCCTGCACACATGGCTCCCCGATGTTTACAGGAATATTGTTTTGATTCTGATAACTTTATCAACACGCAGATAGGATGGGACCAGGTTCTCCTTAAATGTGCGGTTACTTTTTACTGACCCCGTTGAAAAAAAAAAAAAAAAGCAGTTGATGATTTGAATAATCCGTGGGGTGATTGTTAAAGAGAAAACAGCATTAACATCTCTTAGTCGTACGCCTCTGTCAACCATTCAGGTCAGAGGTTACATCCATCTTTGTCAAAAGTGACCCTCAATGAGTCCAAGTGGACACTTATGCAAAATGAAAGAAAAATCCCTGCAGCCGTTCGTCAGCTATCGCAATATCTTCAAGGGAAAGGTTCATACGGACAGAGTAGAAATTTGATCAAACAATAGCCCAACACTAAAAATGTCATCAAAACCATTTGGGTTCTGTTTTGTGGGCTTTGATATCCCTTGGGAACCTTGGTTTAGTATTGCTGTTGCTGTGGAGTACGATCATGATTAAGACAAGCTGAGTTCTAATGTAATGGGAAGAGAAGTTAGTGAAACAGTGTAAGGCCTTGTGCTTCTGGCAAAAATCGCGATCTAAAAGCAGCTTCTTCCGCAGTAGAACCACAAACCCGGTCGACCCTTCTTTCTTCCATCCAAACTGAGAACTAGAATTCGGTGGCCTCCAGATGAATCACTTCTGCAGAACACAAAGGAGACCAGCGTGGAGCGTGACCACCATAAAAATACAATCGTTCGTATTTTTAAAACTCTTTTGGACCAATAAAAACACCCAACGATAATTGGTCGCCCTTTCTGAAAGGCAGCTCATTTCTCTGCGCTTGTCATCGCCTCTGAAAATATGACAGGGACAGTTGTAAAACCCAAATATCCCGGCAGTACTATGGTACGCATGTGCATGTGTACATACGCATATACAGAGGGACGATAACCACAAACTGCACAATATGTAGTAACACGGTATGTTCTTCCCCAGAGAAATCTAGGTCACATTCAGACAGAAACTCTATGAATGGTCTGGAAAGGTCATTGTGCTACTTCAACTTGCCCTCAATCCAAGTAAAGCAGTCAAACATGTACACCTGCCTACTGTTCACATGTCCTTCCTTCAGATCTGTTGATGCCCAGATCAATAAAGGACTTCCTACAGCTCCTGAGCACATGTGGTTCTTCAAAGTAAACCACCGATCGGTCTTGAGGTTCAGGGAAGATAGTGACCTTTGCAGTGTGAGGAGGGTGTGCACTCAAGTTAACCCCTGTCCCACTGCCAGCGCTTCTCTGCCTGTGAAGAAGAGCAACGCAGGAACACTGGGAGACAGAGGAAACGCTGGTATTATGCAAGTGGGCGCCCCCTTCTGGCCATGTTTTGCATTTATCTACTTGTGACGACTCCAAAGTTCGTTTAAGAAGAAACATGTTGTCTTTACAGAGCAAGGTAAAACAGAGAAGACACTGTCCTCTCTAGTCCCAGGAAAGATGAAGACAATCACCCTCTACACACTGACCCTTTATTAATGTTCTCGAATGAGACTAGCAGCTTGTTCAGAAGCATAAATGGACTCAGCTACAGGAAGAGAACTGCCAGCATTTATTCATAGGGCTGTATAGTGTGTTGAGTGGACAGAGTGGGAATTCACAAAGGGAACAAGGTGACACATAGACCCCATGAAGCAGAAAAGGACACCTCCACCCTGATCCCCTCGAATGACCTTCCGGAAGTCATGCCGCTTGGCTGGAGGAGTCATTACTCATCTGTTATTGACTAAAACAATGGAGTAAAACGAGTTCCTAAGAGGTGGGGTGCCCGAGAGAAGGAGAAAGAGAAGGGAGGGTGAAGAAGCTGATGATTTATTTCTGTCAGGAAGCCTGTTTTTTTGTAAACTAGAGAATAAACAAGTCTCAAGAATGCAATTCAATGCAAGAATGACGGACGTTTTTATTATCGTGTGCTTTTTCTGTTTTGTTTCCTAGCTATTGTCTGCAGAGGAGGCCTGGGCACATTTAAAAGATGTATAAAAGTATGTATTGTTATAAGCCTGTGTGCTAGCGTCTCCACAACGTCTCCTCTGCATCCAAACCAAAAAGCACATAGCGTCAACAAGCCAAACGTGTCGGTCCTCACCTACCCTTCATCCGAAAGGGGGGAAGTTTGTTGAGGTGGAACTAGAACCAAACGAAAAAGAGACCCAATTATCAATGGGTATCACCACGATTACGACTGACGCCTGTGACTCTCACAGCAGCTTCCTCTCAGTTGCCCCAGCATTCATTCTGCTCCTAACCACCGGCGTCTGTTTAGAAATACAAAGGTGCTCTGTGTCCATCTAGAACACACACATACACACATTCTCTCATTTGAATGCAGACATACAGGCGTGTAAACATAGCCACGCCTTACGAATACAGAGCGTGTATAGAGATGAATACGCACAATAAGCCTCATCTATCAATATTCATGAACGTGTAATAATTGACCTTTTATACTAACAAACTAGAAGTTTTCCAGTATGCACAGGAGGATGAATCCTAGTTATAATATTAACCCCAGAAACCTGAAAGTAGCTTTGAATGCTGGATGATTCCACCCAAATAAAATGT